GGGGGGGGGCGCGGGGGGGGTGTGCGCGGGGTGTGTGTGTGTGTGTGTGTGTGTGTGTGTGTGTGTGTGTGTGTGTGTCGGGCGTGGGGACGTGGCTTCAGATGCTGGGGACACAGGAGCGGTGACAGCCAAAGATGGTCCCTGTCGTACACGTCTTTATCAGCGCCTGCCCCCCACCATCGCCACTTCCCGTGAGGGGTCTCCACACTGTGGGAGGAAGAGGGTTGAGAGAATCCAGGGGGCACCTGTTTGAAAAAGGTCTATGCAAGGCTTGGGGGAGGGGAGAACGTGAGCAAAAAAGACGCGCGCGGGTGCGCGCGCGCACACGCACAAGGACTTTGAGAGGAGGGTCTGTGCTGAGTGCGCGCCCCATTTAGGGGCTTGGTCTCAGTCTAAAAACACCCCACATCTACCGGGGAAGTGTGTGAGGGCGACCCCACTGCAGAGAGGGGCCACCTCCGTTGCCCAGGGAAGGCCTCTGGCCTAGGTCGCCTCCCTGATGGGCGCTTCCCCAGCCCTAAACCAGGCACCAGGCCCTCCACCCTGTGCCCACAGTCTCTGAGGGCAAGGCTTCTGCCACCAGACTGCAAGAGAAGCCTCCGCTGAACCTGATGAACATACTGCCAGCCCTGAGTAGGCACCTGCTGCACACTGGGCTGCAGGCCCTGCCCTGGGAGCCAAGGGGAACTGAGGCACCTCTCAGCACACAGCGACCCCCACCCCACAACCTGGTCCTTCGCCTGGTGTTGCAACACTGAGGCATCTTCCCAGGCTGAGCCCCCACAGGCCAACCTTGTCTCCAGAAAAATCCACCTGCAGCCCTCCTTAGCCTCAGTCTAAGTCGTGTGCCTATGGAGCCTACAGTGCCCACCAGGGCCGGCGGAGCAGGTTGCGTCTACAGGTCAGGGAGGCCAAGAGCTTGAGGCCAGACTGACAAGAGCCCTGCTTTGGCAGCCAGAGCAGATTCGGCTGGCAGTCAACTCTCAGAACATCAGATACAAAGATAATATAAGAACACGTTCCTCAGGGCCAGCTGTGCCCGCAGCTGGTAAGACGCCGCTTTCCCCACAGGCTGTGTTCTGTTCCTGGTTCGCCCCCAAAGCCAGCATGCCTACCTGTAGTCCAGCTGTTCAGGAGGCTGTGGGCAGGAGAATGGTGACAGAGTGAGACCCATCTTATTATTTATTTATTTTTTAAAAGAGATTTTTGCTATCAGGTGAGCGTGCTCACCAGAGAGACAGAGAGAAAGCGAGACATCCCCCTTCGGGGATGGCCACTCCGCAGTCCCTTCTCCTCCATTCTCCCCTTGGGATTTTGAGCATGCAGGCACTGGCGCCCGGCATGAGTTTTAAGTTGCCAGATCTGGGACTCAAACCACAGGCACCTGTCTTTAAAAAGCAGTAACAACAGGGGCCAGCAGGCGGTGTGGAGGTTAAGTTGGCTGGCCAGTTGGGCAGTTCAAGTCCCAGAAGCAGTGGCTAGAAAGACACCCCCCACGTGGGGCCAGCAGATGATGTAGCAGCTATGTCGCTAAACTCTCACATGGCCGATAATGGTTTGAGTCTCAAACCCGGTGGCTTGAAAATCAGGCTGGGCACACATGTGTGCCCAAGACCCCATCTCTCACTGTCTCTGTCTCTCTCTCCAGTGAGTGCACACGCCCTCTAAAAATAAACACCGGGCACATGTGTGTGTGTGTACCCAAAATCCCAAAGAAAACCGAGAAGGGACTGCAGCGTGGCTATCCCTCATGGAGGGTGATTTCTCTCTCTCTCTCTGTCTCGCTCTCTCTCATCTCTTTGTCCAGCAAGCTCATGAACCCTACAGCAAAACCAAACCAGAACAAAACCACTCAAAACATTCCTTGGCCTGCAACAAGTTTTCAGTTGATCCGTGGCTCAGGGTTAACCAAGCTTAGTCTTGCTACCTGGACAGGCCAGGGGCAGGGACTGAGTCCTCCGCATGGGGGCACAGCTGGGTCACCAGGCTCTGCTCCTGGGTTCGGACCTATCCGGATTTTTTTTCCTCAGAGATACAAAAGTGGACGTGGAAGCTCTGTGTTCACCACCCCACATACCTGGCGTAGACAATGGTCACAGCTTGGGGGGTGTGTTCTCCATTCATTCCACGGCGATTTCCTGGGCACAGTGCAAGGGCCACGTGGCAAGCCCCAAGTGGATAACAATGATTACCACCGTTTTGTTTCAAAAAGTTGGGTCAGATGCTATGTTTCTTTTTCATTTTTATTTATTTATTTATTTATTTATTTATTTATTTTTAATGGTAGAGGGCACATGCACTTGCCAGAGAGACAGAGAGAGAGGGAGGAAGGAAAGCGCTCCCTCCCCCACGAGGCAAGGTCATGCTGCAAGCGCTTTTTCTCCATTTCTCTCCTTTCAGGATCTCGGGCATGTACCCCACACCTGGTCTATTTTCACGTTGGCAGGGCTGGGATTTGAACTGTCTGGCAGTGGGATCTAGCTGCCCTAACCACCAGGCAGGCTCAGACCCAGCCCATTGATTTGCCTATTTAAAAAAGATATTATTTGTGGGGACCAGCAGGTGGCATGGTGGTTAAGGCGCTGGACACTCCCACATGGCTGACTACGGTTCGAGTCCTGGACCTGGTGGCTTGCTTTCTCACTTTCCCTCTTTCTGTGTCTCTCTTTGTCAAGTTAAAAATAAATCAATGAATAAAAATAAATAAATAAATAATTATTTTTTAAAAAGATATTATTTGTATACTATAAAGAATAACCATTTTAAAGTGTATAATTCAGTGGTTTGTAGTATATTTATATGCACGACTTTAAATAAATAATTATAGGAGTGAGTAGTATTATCCATATTTACTAAACAAAGAAGTTAATGCCAAGACAAACTAAGTCATTTGCCCATGATCACTTGCTTGGGAAGTGAGACAGGACAGGGAGACTGACATTTCACTCTAAGCAAGAGTCTCGACTGTTCCTTAGGTTGGGGTCAGATGATAGAAGGTCTTTTTTTTTTTTTTTAACATTTTATTTATCTACCTATTTATTTGTTGTGATATTCAAGCCACTGGGTCTGGCGCTCGAGTTGCGACCAGTCATGTAAGAATCTGGCACCCTAATGCCATGCCATCTGCTAGCCCATAGAAGGTCTTAAAAGCCAATCATGGGGGCCGACAGGTGGCATGGTGGTTAAGGGCACTGGACTCCCACATGGCCTACTGCAGTAGGAGTCCCGGACCTGGTGGCTTTCTCTCTCTCTCACACTCTGTCCATCTCTGGTCAAATTAAAATAAATAAATAAATACAGTTAAATAAAATAATTTTTTTTTTTGGAGAGGTTTTTGCTATAGGGCGCATGCGCTCACCAGACAGACAGAGAGAGAGACAGAGAGACAGAAAGCAAAAAATCACCCCCCAGGGAGGATGGTCACGCTGCAATCCCTTCTCCTCCATTCTCCTCTCAGGATCTTGGGCACGCACGCACATGCGCCCGGTGTGAGTTTTAAGCCACCGGGTCCAATACTCGAACCGCGGTCGACTACGTGGGAATCCAGCGACATAGCCATTACACTAACTGCTGGTACCAATAAAATAATTCTTAAAAAAAAAAAAGCTACTCATGGCCCAATCATAGCAAGGCATGTTGCTCAGACACTGTGGCTCACAGGCTGGGACCACATAGGAGTTCTGGGTTCAATTCCTAGTCCAACCTAAATGTTGGGTGTGGTGGCATACACCTGTAGTCCGACCTGGGAGGCCGAGGCAGGAGGGCACTCCTATGGCTAGATATTGTCTTTTTAAGAATTATTTATTTAGGGGCCGGCTGGTGGCATGGTAGTTAAGGGCGCTGGACCCCCACATGGCTGACCATGGTTCGATTCCCGAACTTGGCGGCTTGCTTTTTCACTGTTCCCCTCTTTTCTCCCTTACTCTCACTCTCTGTCTCTCTCTGGTCAATGGGGAAGGCAACAGGGAACCTCCACAGGTTGTAAGCAGGTAAATAGTGGGATTGAAGTTTTACCAAGTAACTTTATAAAATGACAACATTTGGGATAGCAGCTCTAAGGTTTCTTGCTAGAAAGATGTGGGGACTTGTCCATTCCCTCTTACTTGCTGCATTTTCATTTCTGGATCTTTGGCAAAAAATAAAACAAAACAAATTGTACTGGGCACCTGTTCTGTGCCAGGTGCTATCTTAGGCTCAGAGAATGAAAAGGCAAAAAGGGACATTGGATCTGTTCCTAAAAAGCCCTCAGGCTAGCAAGGCCCCGGGGTGTACAGATAAACTACAGTGTAGCAGCATGAGGAGTCTATTGAGGTGGGTATAAAAGTCACAGAGAAGTGACTGACATCTCTGTCCCAGGGGTGGGAACAAGCAGGGGGAGAGATGGAGGCCATGGGGATACTGCAAAAAGCAGATGGCTTTAAGATGGATGTTGAGGATACAGTCTCAGTCTGGTTCCCCAGAAGCAGACCCCAAGACAAAGATGTGTGTGTGTGAGTAGTTTAATTGAGAACCAAAGGGGTGCGGAGGTGAGACAAGAAAAGGAAGGCAGTCAATAAAAGGTGCT